AGAGCGCAAAAGAAATATTGAACGCAGTACTCATCACAGGCTGGTAACTTTTCTCTCTTCTGTTGGCTGCTAGGTGCAAAGACCTCACAGCTCCCGGAAGTCACTTTTGGGAGCCAGAATGACTATGCCTTAGAAGAAAAAGGGTTCTCAAACGAAACCTAGGTCGTCGCTAGGACACTGACTCACACCAAGCCGGAAGTCATCCTTCTTCTTGAGGACCCGAGGGAAGTAAGCTAGTGAATTCCTTTTCTGCGTCAATTGGGTTGATTCAACAGCTGCCTACTTGCCACGCATTATGCCCTGTACTTCACACATCCCTTTATTTGATCTTTGCAGCAATGTGGTGTGATAAGTCACATGCTGATCCCATTTCATACTGGCAATGGAAGCTCAGTTCCCATTGTTGCTACAGCCAGGATGCGGCAGAATTTTACTTCATGTCCTCCCGTTGTCCAGTCCAGTTTATGACACGTGCCTCAGTGTCTGCTTTGGCGGTTTAAAAGACACCACTGAGCAGGGGTGGGCTAAAGGTCAGCCTAACTTTGCCTGGGGTCTTTGGGAAGAAGATTCCCCGTGTTCTAAAGCAGGACAGTCTAAAAGCTTTGCAGATGCATGTTGGGAATATGAAAACCGTTTCCCTGGAGTGAGTCAGCTCCTGCTCATCTCTTGATGCAAGAGAGGAAAACATTACATTAGTTAATATGAAATTGCCTTGTTTTGAATACATCCAAAAATAGCCAAGGAAAAAAATTATCTTCACCAATAAAGTACAGTAGATATGAAGCTTTCACGCTTGGAGGAACACGAAATGATCTTATTATCCTGAGCATCTTGATGGCAACTATGAAAATTCATCTTTATTTGCATTTCAGGAAAAATATGAAGCTCTAATTTTACCTTGTCCTTCACCCTGTCTGATCCTGCAAGCCCAAGAGCTGTTCCAAAACAAGCATAAGAGAGTGTGAAAGATGCTACTCAGAAGCCTAGCACCATTCCGGATCAACTGCAGCTATCACTGCTTTTACCTAGAATGACCTGGCAAGGAAGTTATTACTCAGAAAAACTTCAAAGGAGCTCAGCACTCTGTCTAAGGTCAAAGGCTACTAAAAAACATCTAGACCCCTCTTTACAACATGACGTTTGAAAAATGAGTGAGGTCTACGAGCACAATCTGGGCACTTCTTTCTTCTCAGTTCCTAGCTTGAATCAACCTTGCAAAGCATGGCTGCTAAGTAAGAATGCTACTCAACACCAGCAAAGGGGCTGCATTTCTATAACCCCGGAGCCACAATACTACACGGTCCTGGGCTGTAGCTCTTCAAACCATCTGACTGCTGGAATTCACGAACAAAATTCCCAAAAGGACAGCTCATGAAGAAGCCATCAAAGTCATGGAGTAAAACATTTTCATTTTCTAAGTCAGAACTTCACAGCTTTTGGTCAGAAACCATTGAAATGATTCTGGAATCTATGCCCCCAATATATCTTTATTTTTCATCTACCATTTCCTTCACCTGAGCTACCTCAGTATCTTCCCACATAGACATCTGCCCTTCTATCCTAGTGTCCACAGGGAAGTCCAAGGAACATTTACAAAATATGAGCACAATTCCATTCTGTAACCCCCCCCAACACACATACACACATGCACAGACCCAAATACACCTGCTTACAATTATTTATGGCTTCTTACAAAAAAAAGTTTTAAAATTATCTCTGAGATCTTGGCAGTCCTACTAGCTTTCAATAAGAATTGAACTTTTTGGAGTACCTAAGTAGTATTTACGTTATACCTGGAAAATTAATGCGATAATTAAAAAAAAAAAGCTTCAAGTAGTCATGAGATACTATAGAAGTTTACTTAGATTTTTAGATTTTGGTTCTCAAATATTACCACCAGATCATGCAATTTTCGTATTACTATTTCCTACAAATAGGAAGTTAAAGAACAATTTAAAATATTAATGTTTGAGTTGGGGATATAGCTCAGTGGTACAGCATTTGCCTAGTAGTATGTGTGAGACTTGGAATAAAAGCCCTAACCCCTCAACAGCAAAATACTACTATTCCTACTGCTACTGCAACTGCTACTAATAATAATAACTATAGTGTTTCATTAAGTGTTTCCTATAGCAGGCAAAAAAAAAAATCCCAAACAATACAAAATTCTAATATGTATCAACAGAAAACATGACTGGAAATTTTTAGGGAATGAATAGATAATAGAAACATCTATTTATATTATAAGCACTTTTAAATCCAGATTTTCCTGATTATCGTTAGTACTCCGATGACTGATGATTTATAATAATTAAAAAATTAAAATTTTCTGAGATTCAAAGAGGAAATATACCTGTCTAAGTAAATTCCTACGTTCCTCTAAGTCTTTTTCTTTTAAAGAGAACAAAGAGGCAATTCTCACAAAGGAGGAGCACTGCTATAAACATTAATGGACTTTCATCTGGTTGGGTGGTTGGTATTTTTGTGGTGCTGGGGATTTAATTAGGGCTTCATGCATGCTAGGCCAGCAGCACCTACCACTGAGCTACATGCCCAGCCCTAAGGTTTTATTCTTCAGTGTGGTGAAGTTTTATTCTTCTCTGTGGTCTAAGAGTCACCAACCTTTTTCTAGGATCTTGAAGACAAAAGAGGCCAGAGAAGAAGTTTATGGGAAAAGGGAATTTTGAAAACTTGCCAGAATGGTAAGAACATCAAATGGGCCATCTTTTGGAAAAGTAAAATTTCAGTAGTTGGCCTTTCTGTAAGATGAAGTAAATAAATTAATTTGAAGGGAGGATTCCTGCCACCTAAATAATTTTCATGATTTAGGGTCTTACGTGGTGTTTGGAACTTTCATTTTTACTTTTCTTATATCAAATATCATGTTCCTGTAAGAAGAACTATCCACTTTTACAAACTTTGTTTTAATATCATAAGTTGATGGATTGTTTGCCACTACAATGTAATTTCAGACCACATGCAGATGGACTTGTATTTCTTAAAATTAGTCACTTAAAAATTTAAAATACAAGAATTATCTGTTGTGTTTCAAAAACAGAGCCCACACTCTAAGGGAAGAAAAGTGGGGTCAAGGCTAATGAGATACTGCCCAGTGGAGTCTCCCTTAGTAGTAGAGATCAACCCAGATATGGTTGACTCTCTCTCTCACTCTTTTAAATTCTCAATCCTACATTTACCTCCAAAGGGAACACTGGGAAGTCCTGAGAGTCCTCACTGATGTGACCATAAGCTAGTGTAGAATTAAGTTGTTAATTAGTGTCACTGTTAATGTCATTTTCACTGTGAGCAAAATCCATGGGACTCAATGAATGCAATTTGAAAAATGTCAATGGCCCCTCATAGTTTTGCTCTCTTCTATTAGTGCAGATGCAGAATTATACATAGAATAACAATAACGTGGATGTCTCCCAAAAGCCAGAAGGCAGCCTCTGCTTCGCTTAACCCAATATATGGTACCCTAATTTTTAGCAGTTTTTGACTCAGTTCAACTTCACTTTGTAGTGTGGCATCAAATTGTATCATGAAAATTCATGCCACACTGTGAAATATTAGAATCCTCTTCAGAAAACAAACAAACAAATAAAATAAAAAGCCATGCGGAATACATAAGGATTTTACAACACCCCTTGTGTTATACCATTGCAGCTCTCTGAAGTTCCTCTAGGAGGATCTCATATGTGAACCTCAGCAACATGGGCTTGGAAAAAATCAAACAAAAATCTGGAAAAAGAGTCATGAAAAGTCAGGAAACTCACCTCCCCGCCTCGAAGGTGAACCATGTGGTGTCTCTTCCGTACCGCCGCAGGGCGCTCAGCGGCCAGGAGATGAGCTTGACTCTGGGATTCTGGAGATCCCAAAGACAGATACACTCGTACGTAATCTGCAAGGCACATTCGCCATGCACATCGAGGTTAGGAGATGGCATCAAATACACATTGAATCTCTCTGGGAGGAAAACAAAAGGTCAGTCTAACATCCCCAGGAATAAAACATCAAAGACATTGTAGACACAGAAGCATTTAAAATGAATTCAAACTCATGTTCTAGGATTTAGCTGAACATTCAGGAAGATTAATAACTCTCATAAGTGGGCAGTCCTAAAAAATGATTTGTTAAACCCAGACCCTACTAAGTAACATAATAATAATAATAATAATACATGCTGGATATCAACATACACTGAACATTTATCTACGTGGATGAAGACCATTTAACACTTTCTAAATTTTCATGATGAAATTTTGTATGCCAATAGAAGAATAAAGCAATGAAAATAAAGCAATGAAATGATCAGAATGTGATCAAAAGCATTTTTTCTGCCAAGCGCACATTAATTACACCCACATTTTTTGTGTTCATAAAAGATACAGGTGCAAAATAATTGCCACAGGATCTAATTATACTAAAGTTTTATTAATCAACTTATAATTTATATAACTAAATGAATAAAGCTGTACCCAAATTATTTAAAGAAAATTCTACACTAATTCTATGCACTTAACTGACCATCAGTTTGGGAAAAAAAATAATAGGTTTATTTGGACTAGTTTTAACAAAATGCTTTCTTTTGCCAACTGTGGTGAAAAATATTCATTTGCCTGTTTAGATGCTTATAAAAATGTAGCCAAGAGCAGCCTAAATCTATTATTTTGGTAATTCCTACCACCAAGTATTCATCCCCACAAACTACAGACACATACAAATACAGGTGTATTTTTGTTATATTTCCTAGAAAATTCATTAACAAAAAATTACAGTCAAACTCTCTAAGTGATATATGAGCAAAAGTATTTCCACCTAGGATCATTAAGGTAGACTGTGTACAGCTGACAAGATAATGTGGCACTAGCAATTTAATCTTAGTAGTATTCCGAATCAACTGCTTTTACATAATCATTAGCATTTTCATAGAATTTAGTTGAGTTTAATAAATAGAAATGTTAAGATTGTGTTCATAAAATATCCGAATCATTTTAACTCCCAATTATCAAATATTACTGCTGTCAATTAACAATTATTTGTTTTAAAAAATGCATCCTAATGGATTATATTTCTCCTTTTTGAGAGTTCTGGATAAAGCCCTCCTTAAGTACCAAGTAAGAGCGATCATCACCAAATTATTTGCTTAAAAGCAAATTTATTTGCTATTAACTGTAACTCATTCAGCAATCATAGCAGTGGGAGTGGCAATTTTAATTATAATTGCTTGAAGTTATAACATTAAGACCGTAAAAGACCTGGTAGAATTTTATAACTATGCCTAGTAATTTTATGCCGGAGAAATTCTTACTTCTGTTTGCCAAAAGAGGAAACTTAGACACAGAAAAGCAGCATGGGAAAAGTGAACATAGGCATAATCATTTCTAAAATTCCACCGCAGCGCTATCAGGATACTGCTTTACAAATAAAATTTGGGAGAAGTAAGTGCAGATCGGGGCATTTTATGACACAATAATTGCCCAAACCCATCCAGGGTCTTCTTTACGTCCGTGTGGCGAGGGGTGCGGCCTCTCTGTCCAGGGTTAGCCAGACCTAATGACTCAGAGCAGAGGGCCCGGGACTGGGCGAATGACCCCGGTAAATGGCTCAACCTCTCTGGGGCTCAATTTCTCACTCTATGCAGAGGCGCCTCCACATGGGCCAGCAGGTCTAGGCTCGGTCAGTAACACTTCAGTGGAGATGGGTCAGGGCGCACATGGTGCGTGCAGTGTAGCCACAGACTAGAAGTGTGTCGCGAAGGCACAGCTCCCACAAGGGAGGGGACCGTTTCTTCCTAACCACCTCGGAATCCAATCTGCCCTGTCACAAGGCCCAGCTATTTGAAGATGAAGAAATCATTTCAGGCTCATACAGTAAATCAACATTGATTTCTACTAAAATGCTCATGAATATTTTGGACATTATTATTTAAGACAATGCATTCCTTTATTTAAGACAATGCATTCCTAGATTGCATGTTAAACTGAGTTGGCTCCAAGAAAACACAGATTTTTAGGTGGGTTCAAACTCGATGAAACATTCATGAATGTGAAAGCCTTTTAAAAGCATTGGAAAGCTTTCAATAACATTTTAAGTGAAACGGCAAGACAGAAAGCCATTATGCTTTAAAATTTGTGCGTTGTAAATACAGGCTCAAGAGCACTGTCTGGAAGCCAACACAAACAGCTACTAGAGTTGGAGCAAAGCATTGGGTCCTGGGAAACTTTTGTTTCCTCCTCTACAAAACCAGGGAAATAGCAATATCTATGCCATGATACTGCTGCAAACATGTAGTAATCTACTACCCGTACAGCATCTTTTGCTAATCTGACCAACAGCAGGTTCCTCAAAATTATTGATGTAGACACTTTTATCATACACACTGGAAAAGATACTATGAAAAAAATACATTGCAATGTTCACAGCAGTTGTACATTCCGCAAAAAGTTATTTTGGTTTTTCTTTATGCATTTTTATAATTCAAAAGCTTTGCATATTGAAGATGACCTATGTTTTATCATATGGGGCAGAACTGTATAGAAAAAGAAGCTGAGAATTTCCTGTCCCTACCACTCTGTTCTCTCTCCACGCCGGTAGCTAGTAGGTCAGGCTCTCCGAGGCTGATATCATTGATCCGTGTCCCTACACATTCCATCTGCAGGACTTTACACCACTCATCTGCCTCAAGATCTGTAGAAAGGGCCAAGAGATTAACCAGTACGCTCAGCAGCCACCCAAAAGCTATGAACAACAGCCCCGCCACCGCAGACAAACCTGACTCGCAAGCAAAAGTCTTGGAGGTATCGTCGTTGAAGTAAATCCCTATGGCGTGTTTCTTGGTGCTTTTTGGCAACCGAGCTACGTTCTTCACATTGTTCAGTTCCGTAACCTGAAAAAGGGGTAAGTGGAAGGAAGCTCGGTCACACTTCCTGCGTGCATGTTCGTAACCTACTGCACCAGAGCCGAGGCCACACACGTCTCATGTCAAACAGAGCATCACAGAACACTGCCCGTAGGTTTGAAAGCAAAGAGCTGTTTAAGGGAATCGGATTTGTCTTTAATACATAGCAAGGCTTACAAATGATCTTTCCTCATTAAATTTCCTAAAGGATAGTAAGCGGAGTAAACTTGAAACTTCACGAAGGTAGAGAACTTGTTTTAGTTTTTCTAATAATTTTTTGGTTGCCCAAAAGACTCTAGCTCACCAATAGTTCTCAAGACTGTCTCCCTCACTGTGGAGTCCTCAGCCAACTCCTAGCTCTTCCCAAGACAACCCCCCTTCTGAACAACCCCACAGAAGAGGGCGGGGCATCCAGGGGGTCACGGAATTATTTCTTCTTGTCAGCCAGACGTAGAGGAGTCTCAAACATGAACCCCTGCTTGAGGGTCAAATCATACATTCTGTCACACGGTCATAGCTAACCTCATTTCCTAAATAGCTTCATTCTCTCAGATCTCCTCCTAGCTGCTCAATGGCGTCTGTGCCTTCACTGTCTCCAGTTTTCCCTGAGCTTCTCTGTGGTTATGGCCCTCTGTTAGAGCCTGAGAATACTGCCCTGTTCCTACCAGTGGGAAAGCTGTCCCCCACTGGTCCCTTTGGTACTGTTTAAGCCTCTCCCCTCCCACAAGGGTGTGAAACACAGTGACAGTGCTGAGGGGACCTGCGGCTGCCCTTGAACAGTGGCATATTTGGGTCTTGCCAGAAAGAAGATTTAGGGTGGCTTCAGGGTGAGAATTTACAGGATAAATAAGCCTTTCACACTGGCAAGTTTAACCTCCCCGTAATATATCTCTCTCTTATGCTGCTGTTCAAAAGAATCTATTGCCCATCAATCTTTGCCTGCAGTGATACTGGGCCCTTCTCCCAGCTGTTACTCCAAATCCAATAACTGCCTGCCTGGCTCAAGAAGGAGGTGGGCACAGAAATACAAGTCCTCCATGCACATGCTAACCTGGTTATTTCCTTTCCCTGCTCCTTCGTCTCCATCGGCCCTTTGTGCAGTAGAAAAGCAGATGTCTTAGGGTGAAGTAGCACAGTACTCCTCAGAAGCTCACCACATCAACTACCGCGGGTGCCTCAGACCTTGCCAGATGCAGCAGTTAACCTTGTTTATTTTTGTGCCACCTCCCCAGGGCAAGCCCCTGTCATCTCACAAGTACTGATTGTTCTCCTACTTCCATTTTCAACCCAGTAATTCACTGTTCAAGCAGGGGAGGATGTTTTAAAAGTATAAGGCTAATCCTGGCATTTCCATGCGTGAAATTAAACTACAAAGACTTCCCATTGCACTCAGCACAGATGCTCCAATCCTTTGGTCCAAATGCCCATCGTGACCCTGCCGTCTCCCCTCTCCCCATCTCGGCACACACTCTACCCTGTGCTACCTTCCCTGGGCTTTCTGTGTCCCAGACAAGCTGGGGATCTTATTCAGCTCCCAAAAGGCCCATGACTCCCGAGCACAGAGTTTTCCTTGCTCTCTCCCTACCTCATTCCTACTCACCTTACAGGTCTTCGTTTAAATCTGTCACCCCCAGAAGCACCCCTGGAAACCCCACCCCCACATCGATTCAGTCTAGAAGCGGTGCCACTCAGTGACACCCTGCGTTGCCCTTAGTGACCCTCCCATGGCTACATAAGTTATTGGTGCCTTGAGTGAAAGTCCCACTCGGCAGGATTTATCTCTCTGCTCACTTTTGCGTCGCCCGAGTCTGATACAAAGCCTGCTTCATAAGGGAGAATTCGATAGATTCACATGGATTCTCTGAGCATGAGAGCAAAGTCATCCACAAGTTTACTGACACAGAGCTTCTGCAAGATGAATGCCTCTGTCCTGCGTTTTCCCTCCGGGAAAATGTGCCTTTTCCTTTCAGCCTACTTCCTCTGGGAAGTTCGTCCTGCCCTCGATATATGTTGACTACGTGCATCTCCACACTTCTGTGTGTGACACAGAGTGCTCAACCTTATCCTCTGTGGCTGTCATTCATCTATTTATCCCCCCAGCTCCCAAGTGGACTTGAATCACCTGGCAAAGGCTTCTTGACAGACCACATCGGTGAAGAGACAGGCACACTGAGAGCCAGCGTTTACTGAGCCCCAACACACACCACGCCCTGTGCTTAGTATTCATATACAACATCCCATTTGATCTTCATGGAAACCCTGGCAATAGGCATTGCTATTATCAGCATTTTTCGGATGAGGAAACTGAGGCTGAGATAGGTTAAAGTTATGCAATCAGTTCCTGGCTAAGATGTAGAGGGGCTGACACATGAACCCAGCAAACCATCCTGAAGCTGGGGCTCCTACAGCATAGGAAATACGAATGACAAATGCTGAAAAACTCCAGCTGAGAAGATCTGCAGCCCCTCCAAATCAACTCCCATCTGAAGGCCTCTCTCTTGTCACCAGGTCAGAGGCAGGACACACATTTGCTGAGCTTCATGACCACCCTCTCCTGAGACACTGCTGAACAGCGGCCCACTCCAGCCTGAAACACAGCCCCAACTTTGAAATACGTCACTTCATTACATCTCCATTAAGGGAGAACAGGAAGCTACAAGTCACTCAAAACGGTCAGGAAATGCAGGGGGAATTGTATGAGTCAGAACACCATTACCCATTTTGGAAATTGGTTTAGGTAATAAGCCACACAACACCCCTGCTCAGGCAATGAATGCTCACAGAGTAGGCAGCATCGTGATTTTACACGTCAAACAACCACAGGTTCCAAAGCAACTGTCTGTGCCTAGCTCAGAGCCAGGCATGAAGAAGTATGCACATGCATGAGTGCGCACACACACGCACACATACACACTACTCAGATAAAAGGCTTGCAACCTACACTTACTCTTAGCAGGTCGTTCCTCTAAATATGTGCCAAAGCAACAATTATAACTAACATTGGCAGGGGTTTTGTAAGTCACATACAACTTTTATAAAATCTATTCCTTTTTCATTTCATATTACAAATGACAAAAGCAAAGCAGGCTCTATGCTCTAATATTTCTTTGCTAAAGAAGTCTGGCCAATGCAGACTGGTGCAACCACTATGGAAATCAATATGGAGATACCTCAAAGAGCTGGGACTAGATGTTCCCAGCCATCCCTCTGCTAGGCATCTTTCCAAAAGAATTAAAAGAATCATATCACAGTGATATATACACACCTATATTTATAGCAGAACAGTCTGTAATAGCTAAAACTTGGAAACAGCCCATTTGCCCATCAGTTGGAAACTGGATAAAGATGTGTTTTTTCTATAAAAGGGAGTAATACTCAGCCATAAAAAATGAGAAATTAGAGTCTTTCATAGGAAAATGGATACATATTTAGAATATACTCCTAAGTGAAATAAATAAGTCACACATGTATAAATATCAAATACTTTCTCTGGTGTGAAAAACTATAATAGTGCATAAGATCCTAATGAGATAATTGACAATGAGAAATAGAAAGAAAAGGGCTAAAGGTATAGGGAAAGTGGAAATGGTAGAGGAAAAGTAATAAGGGAAAAGAAAAAATATGAGAAAATGGAAATAAAGTGTTTGTAAATGGGGAGGGGAGGAGGGGTGAAGGGAGGGCAGGGACAGGGGAAACAATGAGAACCAAGACCTGTCATGTAAAGGTACAAGATTCCAATAATGAATGTGTCTGTACTGTGTACCTAAAATGTACCAATAAACTCAATGAAGAAAACAAAAAAAAAAAAAGTCTGGCCAAGAAGCACCACTTCGGAGGCATCCATAGGTTTTGGTAGAGTCTCAAGCTCTCACTTAAGAGCAACGACATGGGAAATGGGGTGGAATCTGCTCACCTCCACGCGGATGCATTCTACAGTCTTGTGAGTGGGATTATTCATTCAGCTGGCCTGAGGTCTGGGTTCTACAAAGTCCTTCCTGAGTCAGAGGTTGTGGATTTTATTATTCTTTACTTCACAAAACAGATGGGCATTCCCTGAACTCTACATGGACTATGTTTTTTTCACATTATTTTGGTCCTTCATTAAAGCAGCTGGATCTGTACTACATGTTTTGTGTGTAAGTTCATATATGAAATAATTATTCAAATAGTAAAAATATTCAGGGAGGGAACCACATAAGCACGAATGCAAGTCCTTCTACAGCAATCTTCAAAGCATCCATCCATTCACCAGAATGTTTATTTCTGCTTATTTACTACTTAGTTATATATTTATCTACTTTGTGTCAAGTACTATTCAGGTTACTGGGGGTTGTTTGCATGATTTGGCTTTGGTTTTTGGTTTTTTTGCATGTTGTTTTTGTTGCTGTTGGTGGTGGTGGTGGTGGTGGTGGTGGTGGTGGTTTTTCTGAGTCAGAGTCTTGCTATGTATTTCTAGCTTGCCTTAAACTCACTATGTGGCCCAGGCTGGCCTAGAACTCACAGCAATCTTCTTGTCTCAGCCTGTCCAGTGCTGAAATTATAGGTGTATACTGCATGCCCAGCTTTTTCTTCTTTTCTTTTCTTCCTTTCTTTTCTTTTTCTTTTTCTTCTTTTTTTTTCTGTTCTCTGGAACTTTAGTTTTTAGTAAGTCAACAAGAAACTTTTACTATGTAAGGATAAGAAAATGCTATGAGGAAAAAGAAAGCTGTGTAAAAGGGTTTATTCGGAGCACGGGAATTTTGCTATTGCATAAGGGGTCGAGGAGGCCCTTCCTGAAGAGAGAACTTGAGAGGCTCATGAAGTGGGAAGGAGCATGTCTTAATCACTTTCTCATTGCTGTGGCACAAAATCTAACACACACAAATTAAAGGGGAAAGGTTGACTTTGGCTCAGTCTGTACAGCTTTCAGCTTACAGTCAGCTGGCTCCAAGGCTGGGTGGCCTGACAGAGGCCTCGCAGAGGAGGCTTGGTTATGGTATGGTAATCAG